TTTTTTAATTTTAAAAAAAAAAAAAAAAAAAAAAAAAAAACCTTACTTGAAAAAAAAAAGAAAAACCTTACTTGTACTCATACTCATACATTCTGTTCCTTTGTCTACTTGTTTATTAACTTAGGAATCGAAGTGTTCTCAGACTGCTCCCTAGCTAGTCCCTTTATCTTTTGTGAGTGTTTGTAGGTTCCAAAGAGTTCAACAATCGCCAGAGCACTGCCGCAACAAGGTGGTACCAGTTTTTACCCATTATAATTTGGCGCCATCTGTGGAAAATCTGCAGCAAAAAGCCTTGTTCTAACTGTGAAGAGTTCAGTGCACACATGGTGGTGAAAAACGTCAATCTTCCAGCTGGAGAAGAACCAGACGAACCACATTTCCCAACCCAATGAAGATGTCCAGTTGACGTTGAAATGTCACAAGAACAACATAATCGAGAGATATATGACTTGCCCACTGTTGAATACTCCGAATGCAGCAACTGAATGCAAGAACTAACCTGCCGTGATCAACCATGGGTCAATAGCTTAAGGAATTGGCCAACCAAGTCAGAATCTTGAAGCAGGGACAAAACCAACCACCTACGCATGAACAGCAAGCTGAAGGAGGCTTACGCCCCCCTAGAAAGAAACCTTCCCACCAACCTAAGGGAAAGCCACGACCTGAAGTAGCCCAAAGACTTGCACCAACACGTAGGGCAGGAGAATCTAGCCATGTTGCCAGTAGTTTTCCCCGTTCAGAAAAGCGCAATCCAACCTCTTCTAAACAAAATGAACATCATTTTGAAAATTATGCCTATTCGGATGACGTGAGGTCTTTCTTGCATAGGAGGGAAAATGCACAAGGGAAATGCCCAAGGAGATCAGGACCAACCCAAAGTTTTGACTTCCCTTAGGAGGATACGAGAACCTTTTTAAATATTAAAGGGTAAGTGAGAGCAACCTAAGAGCAGACAAAGATGCACTTTAGAACTTTTATCGAAGTATCGAGACAAATGAACCCATGTGACAGGACCAGTCACAGGGCTGCCAGCCACAGGGACCCACGGAGGACAGCCATTCATCATATTGAGAAACCTAAGGCCGAGAATCCTGCTCGAAAGGTGTCCAAAGGAATCGTATTTAGAGCAACCAACAAAAGACCGGTCCTGTTAGTCTCACCGTTCACTAATGGTGTGTTTGGTTGAGGGATTTGGGGAGGGATTTGGAAAGGGAAAGGGAAAAGGTATGTGAAACTATGTGAAATATAGGCATAATTTATTCACATTTCACCTACCTTTTCCATTTCCCTTGCAAAATCCCTCTCAAAATCTCCCAACCAAACACAGCATAAAAGAATTGCCAGCGTAGAACCACCCAAGAAATTCAACATCCCAAAGTTTGAATTGTATGATGGACGGACAGAGCCCTTGGATCACTTGCGTTACTACCGCCATGCTATGGCTTTCTGGAACAAAAATAAGGCACTGATGTGCAGAATTTTTGCTTCCAGCCTGGGCAAGATAGCTTGAGCATGGTACGACAAGCTCCATGAAAGGTCAATCGACAGTTGGAAGCAATTGGCTGATAAGTTTATTGAACGCTTCATAGCCAACAATAAACAGGCTAAGGGACATGACACCCTGATGGCTTTAAAAAACACACTAGAGTAACTATCAAACAGTATGCTCAATTGTATTGGGAAACGCGGAGGAAGACTATTCATATAAGGTGGTTATCTCAACCTTCAAGCAAGGTCTGGCACCTGAAGACAAATTGTGGCAGTCATTATCCAAGAAGCCAACCAGGACAATTGTTGAACTACAAATAAAGATAGATCAGTGCAGCAAGTTGGAGGAAGATCAGATATCAATGAAGCAGGTGAGTGCGCAAATTAGCACACAGAGGACGAACGTGCAATGCAAGGAGGTGAAAGACAACAAACCTCAAATCAGCAAAAATAAGGATTCAGACTATGCCATCCAGACGGTGTTCAAGCTTCCAATTTGGCAAATCCTACCAGAAATTAAGAACAAGCCCTGGTTCAAGTGGCCAACCAAGATAAAAGGAGATCGAAAAGCAAGGAACTAGAGGGCAAAATGTGACTACCAAGACGACGTAGGCCACAAAATAGAGGACTGCTTTTCGTTTGAACGATACTTAGATAAGATGACAGTAGTTGGACACTTAAATGACTTCATAGGAGATCAGCATTGTGCTAGGCAAAACACCCAACAAGGAGGAAATGAAGGGAAAGCAGAACACCTAAGGGGCATAATCAATGTGATTCATGGAGTGGCACATTCAGAATCAGAATAGATAGCGCAAGCTCGGGGAGAGATGAAGAAAGTGGTGCATCTTAGAGAGGTTTACAGAGCAGAGCACCCGCAGGATACAAAAGGCTAAGAGTTGAATCCTCAAGCAATTGTCCAGTTATCTCATTTTCAGAATAAGACCTGGATATGCTGGTTCAACCACATTCATATGCTCTCTAATTATTAATGTAACACCTCCAATAATGCCAATAATGATAATTAATATTAGGCACTTTTCAATACCTTAAACCAAAATTAAGCTATTTGATTATATAGAATAAATAATTTATTACTTGAAAAAGAATATAGTGAATAAGTTGTGTGCACATGAATTCCTTGTTAAAATAATCATTAACATCAATAAAAATATTTAATTGAATTTGCATACCTCATAATATCAAGGAATAGAAATGTAAATTAGTAAAATAGAAATTAATTGGAAATGAATACAATTGGTTAAGAATGCGAGGGAAATACACGTGTCAAGAATTATAAGATTTAAGAAAATATTAGATCCATACTTAGGGAAATATTAATTGAGAAGCTTAATAACATTAATTTGATGTGTTGAGTATTTGGGTATTTTATGAGAACATCAATCGGAATTAATGGAATTACATAAAATTAAATTAGCTTAATTGAGATTAATTTAATAATATAAATCAAGAATTAATTCTAATTGATTGGAGTTAGACATGATTACTTAATTAGAATTCACGTATATAGTGATTCGTTTAATGGGAGATTTTATTTTGAATCAGAAATTGAAAGCCGAGATGATTTGAGAAACCATAAGTGACGAGCCTAATTGAATCTGTTTAACATATAAAACGTTATGAGAGTTTAATTAAAATTTTGATTCAGATTAGTAGAATTAGGAATGATTAAATTAAGCTTTAATTGAGATTAATTAAATTATACATTAATCATAATTAATTAGGACTAAGTGAGATTGGTATAAATTAAGAATGATTAAATCAAGAATTAATTGAAACTAATTTGATTTGAGACTAAACAAAATGAATTAAGCCTAATCATTGATTAATTAAGTTAATGAGTCATTAGCAATTAATCTAATTCTATCCAATTAATTATGAAAGATGAAAGTTTGAGAGAATTCTATAATTTGGAGAAATTAAATCAAAAAGGGGTACAAGCGTGCTGGGCCTTTTTATTTCAATAGTCTTGCTGAAGAAAATCGTGGGAGAGAGAGAGAGAGAGAGAGAGAGCCTTGTGCTGGAACCCAAATCAAGAGCTTAAGAGAAGAAGCATAAAGAAGAAAAGAAGGAAATCAAGAAATCTCACCACATTGGAGACTCTAGGTAAGAAATTGAAACTTGAATCTTGTAGATAAGTCACCTAAAACCTGAAATTAAGAAGTAATTGGGTTTAATTTCATGTAATTTGAATGGAATTAGTAAAAGGATGAAGAAATTGAGCTAGGTTCAAAATTATAGAAATTAATTTGAAAATTGGATTTGATTTTTGTTGTCTCGCATATATTAGAGTTTCATTTTTACATGCATGAATAAATTCCATTAGTTTTGAGTTTTAATTGCACATGCATCATAGCCTTTCAAAAGTTTTGAAGGATTAATTTCATGTTTTGAAAGAAGAATTGAAAAATTATGAGTTTATGAATATTTTGAGTTTAATCTTGAAATTAAAAGAGTTTGGTTATAAATGGTTTGAAATTGATCATGTTTTCTTGATTATTAAAAAGAATACATGTTTTTAGCAAAGCCATGTTTGAACCGAAGTCTTGGAATTGCAATTTGGAAGCTATTTTCGTAGTCTTTGAAAACTAAATTTTTGCAAACCACTCAAGCGAACTTTCGAGGCAACCGGTATCTTATTTTGCAGAAAAAATTACTGAGTATTTGCATTCACCACTCGAGTGGACACACTGTTTCAACATATTTTCAAATGCATCTTTTTATTCATATTCTCTTTTGTTTTTCATTTTCCAATAATCTCTATGCATTAATTAAGTCTAATTAAGCATTAAATTAAACTAGAAACCAAATAAGTAAATTGATTAGAAAAGATGAGTAATTCGATTAAGTTGACTAGAAAAGAAAAGTAAATTCAATTGATCATAATTTATTATCAATGTTTATATGTGTTTATGTAGGACGAACTTTCGTAGAGGATTACTGGAAACAAGCCCACTGTGAGTATTATCTTTATAAAGATATGCTCGAAATATGTTATGAAAATTGTTACATGAATGGTATTATGAAATGTTATTTTATATGAATGAATGAAGATCTTTTTTGTTAAATGTATTTGTGGCATCATTTAGTGAGGCTTTACCTAGGGGATATAATACCATGGCCTTTCGATTATTGGATTTACAGAGATCTCTGATGTTAGACCCGAGCGGTTCTTTTGTTAGACCTTTTTGGTCTCTTCAATAGACCTTGATGGTCCCCTTGCTAGACCTTGATTGTCCCTTTGACTTAGTCCTTTTGGCCCCTTCGTTACTCTATTGGATGTACCACGCATGATGTTTTGATAATGGATTTCGATATAGAAAATGTTTTGTTTGAATTTGATATATGATTCATTTGGAAATGTAAGACAATGTTTTATATTGTGATGGATTTCATTCATTAATCTCTTTATTTTGGTATTACTCACTGGGCTCTAACTTACCCATCTCCCTTATATATATGTAGGTGAGCATCAGGAAGATCAATATTAGAGTTTGCTTTGGAGTTCACCCATTTTATCAAGCCATACGAAGATGTGCCTCCATGTTGAGGCTTTAGCTGTTGTTTTTGACAAGCTTGTTAAGCTTTACTTTGTCAAAGTCCTATATGTATGATTTGGGATGTATAAGATATCCATTGTGTGTATATATAGATATATATATTAAAGTGTGTCTTGAAATATTTTAAGTATTTCAGTTTATCATATATGCACAACTCAATGGATAATGTTATTTTTGTTTTGCTTTCGCTTCAAACCTCGATATTATTTAAATATTTAGAAATTTTGTCTTTGAGGCTGTAGGTAATCTATGATTACTGGTCGGTCACCACTCTAACCTCTAGAGACCGGTTGGGGTCGTGACAATTAAGCCAGACTTGGATGGCTTTGGGATGCGAAGAATTCTAGTAAATGAAGGAAGTGCAATTGAGATCATGTGCTACAAACTTTTCCAAAGTCTAGTGTAGATACCTCATTTTGACTGATACTAACTGCGGGCGCTTGTAGACCTCCCAATGATGAAACATTAACTACTTCATGTTTGGAATGTTTAAAGGTTGTTTGGAGTTACTGTATAAACTTGTTTTAGCCAAAAATTAAATTTTTATGAAAATGAATATTTTATCCCTAGATCTATTTTTAGCCAAAAAAATTAACTTTTTAACCCTAAGAAAGAGAGGAATGCCCAGTTATGCTTTGATGAAAGAAATTTCTAAAATTAGTGGCCAATTTTATCAAAAACATTTATTAGAAAGCAATTTGGGATTACTTGGACCAAAAACAAGCAAAGGGTATAGAACCCCTCACTTGTGCATGTATGGGAGGCACGTGTACCAAGGCAGGTTGTGCGTACGCACGTAGATTGTCCGTGCTCACTTCCATGCGTGGCATAGTCAATTTTGGTAACACAATCTTGGTGCAATATTGGAGGGAGACATCAAGAAGAAATGATGGAAACCCTAGGGGACTTCCAAAAGCTTCCCCTCTTCCTGTAAAAGAAGCCCCCACCCTCACCCCCTCCTCATTTTCAAAGGGTTAGACTCTTGAGAGCCTTTTGTGAGTTTGAGAGTAAAGACAACCATCCTCTTCCCCCACATTGCCTTAACTCATAGACTCTTAATGGTAAATTATTAAATTGCATTGCATCATTGTGGGCTCAGAAAACCCAACTTCGTTGCTTAATATCCCGGACATTATTCGCGGGATATGTTAATGTCAACAAGCAAGCGTCAGAATTTGTTATTAGTACCATTTGATCATCCCTTGCACTCTAAGGTGGCATGAGAGGTATATTAATAATAGTCAGCTGATGTACCCTTCTTGACTAAACCTACCTTTGCATAGGGAAAGCTGTAGCACCTTCCAAACTAGGACATGATACTTCTCTTTCTAGGATTGTATGATTGTCTTTTTGTGTGATTTAGTGAATCTTAGATCCTATGTCTAAATTAGAATAGGGAAACCCAACTCGTAAATAGGCATAAATGTAAATTCTGTGCTTATGTGGTATCTTGTCTTGAATGAAAATGATTTTATTTGATTCTGGAGATCAACTATCAGAAAATCAATTCAAGGGGTCTGATTAGGCAGTGATTTGATTCTGGAAAATCTGAGATTATTCTGGACAATGATTTGGTTCCAAAATCTGGGGGTTCAATTTAGGCAGCAATTCGATCCTAATTATGATTATGATAATAAGCGGTGAATTAAGGGGATGTTTCCCAATTTAAAGGGTTTGAGTTTTGAATTTGAATTCCTACCTTAGTGATTAATTAAAAAATGATTGCCTTTCTAAAATTTAAGTAAGAATCCTCAAGAACATATATGATCAAAGAATAATTTTTAAAAAAAAAATCCCCATCTTAAGTAGTGTCTTGGAAATTATGGAAAGCTTTTAATTGAATGAAATTTTTAAGTTATTGACTTTGGGAGAATTTCGATTTTATGGAAAAAAAATGGTAAATAAGGAAGTGATGACCAAGCCTTCCATTTTGAATAAAATTTCAATTTCCCTAAAAGGTATTTGACTAGAAGATATTTATTGGATTACATATTTGGAATAAAATCCAAGACTCCTTGGGGAGATATTTTTTTTTTAAAAAAAAAAACCCAAGTATAATTTTGGAAATTATGAAAAGTTTATGATTGGACGAAAATCTTTGAGTTATTGACTTTGAAGGGAATTTTGATTTTACAGAAAAATGTTAGATAAGGAAGTGATGACTAAGTTTTTCACTTTGAATAAAATTTTGAATTTCCTTAGAAGGTATTTGACTAGAAGATAATTGCATGATTAATTTCTTGGAATAAAATTCGAAGTTCCTTGGAAAATTTTGAAACAAAATTTTGCTTAGAGTGTGGAAAATGTGGAAAGTGTTTTAATTGAATGGAAATCTTTGGGCCGCTGACTTTGGAGGAATCTCAATTGTATTGGAAAAATGTTAAACAAGGAAGTGGTGATTGAGTCTTCCATCTTGAAATAAAATTATGATTCCTTTACGAGATATTTGGCTAAGAGATGATTGTTTGATTGATCCCTTGGAATAAAATCTGAACTTCTCAACAAAATTTAAGAAAAAATTTATTTGAAAAATAATTTTGCTAGAAAAAAATGGAAGTTGTAATTTGATCATGTACTTTTGCATAAAATGGGTTATTCTTTTGGGTAAGTAATAATGAATGGAAAGGCAATTGTTTGGTTGATCACTTTGGTAAGAATTCTAAAAATTCCTCAAAAATTCCTTGGTTGGAAAACTATCACCTAATTGGTGATGATGTTAGTTTTGAAATCCTATGGTAAGTTCCAAATAGAATTTGACTGGGTCCATCAGCGTATTCGTAGGTTTATTTGTAACCATCGCTCCTAGAAAGGAAGTTTCCCAAGCTAAGTGGGCCAGACTCAATCGGTCGTCTCTTACTCAAGATATAGTTGATGAAAAGCACATGTTAGTCTCACTCAAGCCACCAGAAAGGAAGATTCCCAAGCCCAAACCCAAGCCCATCTGAACAATTTAGCCCAACTTAGAGTTAGTAGATACACAATAGGCTAGCTCGCGTTTGTCATCTCCTTTTAGTCCAGAACACTTCAGGTTTCCAAGCCCAGAACCAGAGAACTCGATGGCCCAATATTGAGAATTAACTGATCTAATATGTGTACTCCAGAGGTCTGTGGACACCCTATCCGTAAATGTGGATGATTAGGCTTAAACTCTAAACCAGCTGCAAGCCTAAGTGGCCGCACCACCACCACCACCAAAGCTTTAGCAAGTTCCAAGGGAGGAAGTGTTGGTCGTCCTCATACCACCCCTAGATAAAAGATGAGCCAAAGATTGAAATGCTGAATCTTGTTCGAAGTGGCAACCAACTAGTATGCCAAGATTGACAATGAAATCAAGTGGAAGTGAGATGAACTAGCTGAAGCATTTGTTGCCCAATACTCCTATAATACTCAGCTAGAGGTAACCACGAGGAAACTTGAAATCACCAAGAAAAAACCCAATGAAACCTTCAGTGACTTTGTCACAAGATAGAAAGCTAAGGTAGCTAGAATGACTAACCGGCCTGATCAAAAAGATCAAGTGAGAACCATTGTGAAGAACTTGCATCCGCCTCTAATAGGCATCATGTTGCCTTTGCCATTATTTAGCTTATGGGAATTGTTCAACACTGGAAACCAAATACAAGATGGGATCAACCGAGGTATCATCAAAGTGGAAGCTACCACACTACCTCAAAAGAAGCCTTTCACCAGAAATACACCAACCACATCTTCTAACACTAGACCCATTGAAGTTTACGCCATAGGAACCCAAGCCGTGTCTGATCCTTTTGTTGGAACCACCCAATCCACCTACACCCAAAGAACCCTCTACCCACTCCACATGTCCTTGTCCAAAGCCATGCAAATCCTTATAAACAAGGGGCACCTTAAACCTATTGATCCTAGACATCTCTTAGATCCCCTATCAGTTAGCCATGACCTTACCAAATATTGTGCCTTCCACCAATAAGCTGACCATGAAATCGACCGATGTGTCCACTTCGATCATGAGATCCAAGATCTCATCGACAACAAAGTCATAGCACCACCACAAAATCCAAATGTTACCGCCAACCCTTTACCTGAGCACAACAAAACCGTTTCTCCTCCACCCAATGTCAATGCCATACAAACCGCCCTACCAACCTTATACCCTAGCCAATATATTATGTCAGCCAACCTACCCGAAATAGTGGTGCCTACACCTAAAGATGTGGAAGTGGATATCATCCAAAAAGAGCCACAAGTGAATGACCTTGATCCAATAGCGATTTTTATCGCCTAAATGGAAAAACTAATTGCAATAATAACGGTTTTAAAATAGCCGGGGCTACCAAAAGAAGGTGAAGGTTTTGCAGAAGATGAATGGAAAGACTTTCTGTTTGGCAAAGTAGAACCAACTGAAGAGGTGCTAGTAATCTCCATAATAAATTAGCAAGACCAGTCTATGGAGGAGTACGATCCTAGCAAGTACATTGTGCCTACTGATAAACCTAAACTGAAAGTGGTACTACCTGAATCCATGGACATTGATTTCTTGGGAGTGAACATCATCAAAGAGGGCCTTCCAACTCTAGGTGACCCTAACATTCTAGGCCACCCTGATGATTTTGATGGTTTCCAACATGTGGAGAACCAAAGATGGGGAAGTAAGTTCGAAGACGAAGAAGCCAACAATGAAAAGGGGTAAAGAAAGGAGTGGGCAAAACAAATGGACATTGACTGACTTTGAAACTGGCTTGAGTATTGAGACTAACCACATTAGCTTGGAAAACTTGCATTCTGTGATGATATTGGGAATAGGAGCATTGGAAAAGGATGTCACAAAGAACATAGTGGATGTAATGAAACACCAATCAACAAACCAAGCAATTGAAAAATATTTTGCTCATGGATCTAGTAGTGAATCTAATAAAGTGAGTCAAGTGAGTCAAAATTTGGCCTGTCGGATTCTGACGCGTTAGTCATTTCGAGTAATAAGATGATTCTATTCTTTTTGCTTTATTTTGTTTTGATTTGTTTTTACCTCTTTTGAGTTTGAGTCAGATGTTAGTGCTCCTTTTTATCATTGATATAGCTAGCGATTTGAATACTTTGTGGTACCAATAGTTGATTGCATTGATCCCA